TAGAATGAGTGTAAGGATCTAAGAGGGTGGGAGAGGTTGGAAGCAGAGGGATGAGGATGTACAGGGTTGAGGTTGTACAGTTTGTTGGGTGGGGGTATGAGGGAAATGGAAAGAATTTGTTCTTGAAAACAATGCATTCAATTTTATAAATAAACTAGTAGAAAATTAAAAAAAAACACCCTCTAAATGGTGCAAATACTACAAGTCATTTGAAGAGTTTTTGAAAGTTCCAAAACACAGATTATTTTGGTGCCAAAAATTTACTCAAGCAGCAGCAAAATAAATCAAATCCCCAGTTAAAATGAAAGGGGGAAAATGTACAAGAAAAAAAAAATCATAAGAATGTCTCACATCTGGATGACTTAACACTAAACAAAAACCCCAACCACTCTCAAAACAAACTTACTGTCACTGAGCTGAAACTGATTCACAGCTGATCCTCCAGTTTAAACTGCACCCGAGGAGATTGCCTATCCTTCTTCTGAGGAGCCAGGGATGGATTCGAACCACCAGAGAGGCAGGAGCACTGGGTTAGCAGAGCAATTTCTTAGGGACCATGCTAACAGAGCACCTTCAAGAACCAGATCTTTTTCATCTCATTTAAACTTCATCAGAACAACAACAACAAAAGGAGTGTCCTAATTCATGTTATGAAATTATAGACTTTCTCCAGTATCAGACATAATGGCCAGAAAAGCATACGGCTGACCCATCTCACGCATGAAGACAGATAAGAAACTCCTTAGTCAAATGCTAACATATCTGGAAGAACATTTTTAAAAGAATGGCACACGAGTAATCCAACATTCAGAAACCCATTCATTACACGAGCAGCTCAGAGGAAGAAAAAGAAATATATATGGTAAAAGGTAACATCCATTTCCGAGAAAAACTCATAGTTAACTAGACTTGAACGGGCTCTTTTAAAAACACATACACACAAAATTATCTCAAACTCTTATGGTAAAAAAGCACCCATTAAAATCAGAAACAAGACAAAATGATTATTTTCCAACCCTCCAATCTATTATTAAACGTTATTCAGAGAGTTCTAAGGGCTGTGATGGGGAAAACGAGAGAAAAGAGCTGAAGGGTCGAAGTAAAGGAGACAAAATCAGCATGATTTGCAGATGACGTGATTTTCTAGACACAGAACCCAAGAGAATGAAATGAAATATTAAAAAATAAAAGCTCTACAAGAAGCTCGTTTAAATCTATATATACAATGATCTTCCTACACGCCAGCTTTAAGAAGAAAAGGAAACAGGGCAAGTTTCCTTCACAGTAACAGGAATACACTGGATATCTAGGGAAACGTCCAGAAATCTTGGGGATGGTATGAAGAAAACTCAACTTCTCTCGCAGACATTAAAGGAGATAGAGTAAGTGGAAAATTCACTTTGTTCTGAAAGGGTCTACGATGTCGTCTTGTGAGTATTTTTTGAGTACCTGGTGTGTGCCGCATGGAGCTCTGGGGGTGCAGTCCACGGGGAGTCACAGGGCCACCTCAAAGGCTTGGCCAGCAGCTCCTCCAGAGAAAGGCGGGCAATCTCCTCCAATGCGATTCACAGCTCCGAAAACCCAGCGCTGGAGGGTCAGCGATGAGTCATTCTGATGTGAGAACACGGGCTTGAGTTTCGGAGTGTGTACCAGGCACCCTGCTAGAACACAGCCGTAACAACAGAAGGCAAACTCGGTGCCGGGGCGTCGGAACTGACTCAGAGCTGACCCTCCAGGGGGTTTTCCGAGTCTGTAAATCACACAGGAGGAGACTGACCATCCTTCTTCCAAATGGCTGCTGAGAGATTAGAACAAGCTCGGGGAGTGGGGGGGGGGGGATGCCACCTTTGTGTTAGCCGCATCATCCTCTACCCAGTAGGTCACGAGAGCCCCCCCAAACAGAAAACTGTCAATTTACCAAATGACCACCAAATTAATCTATTCATCCACTGTGATCCCAATCCAATTCCAAGAGGGAACGTTTGGAGGCTGGAGCGGGTCCTTGAAGAAAGTTCTAACCCAATGATGCAGAGTTACGTGTCACGGCATCAGAGCGGACTCGTGACTGACCGTCCTGCGGGCTCTCAGAGACATGAGAGACTTCCCACCTTTCCTCCTCGGGGAAGCACTTGCATTCGAAACGCCTTCCTCACCCACGAGGCCACCAGAGCTCCCCTGTCTAATACTCAACATTTAAAAGATATCATTTGCAGTTAGGTAGATTGTGATTCGTGGCATTTCAGAGAAGGAAGAAACGTGGACAATGACCCAAGAACCACTGGAAGGTGAATTATTACATCTGTTTGTCCTAGTAGATGGTACAGATGGAGAAAGAACCTCTAAGCATGCCATTCAAGGCATAAAGCATACATAAAAAGCGACTTAACACCATGGGGATGAAGTAATTTTCCCCAGATAAAAACATCAAGGACAATATTAAAAGAAAATAGAAACTAGTAGGAGAATGCAGTGGATTTGTCAGATAACAGGAAGATAGCCCTTTTTATACTTTCAAATTGACAGGCAAAAAGTACACAAATAAATAATTGACACAAGTACGGATAGGCAATTTACTGCCAGAAGATGAGGCCCAATGTAGATGGGAACATATGCACTCTCATTAGTAATCAAATGCGCACTAAGATGCCAGTAAATAAATATTTATCACTTACCAAACTGGAAGGAGAAAGGAATGATAAAACCTACCAGCAGAGACTGTGGTGGAGAAAAGTGCACTGAGTGGGAGGTAAGCTGTTCCTATCTTTCTGCAGGGTGGTTTGCTAAGTAGTGCATCAAAGCTCTACATAATCATAGATTATCCTAAAAGATGCATATTGCATTGTTAATCACAACAGCAAAAAGCTGGACACAACCTAAAGTCCAATGATGATGATCATGTGGAGTTGGAACTCAGAGCTGATTCTCCAGTGGGTTTTCAGAGGCGGTACACTGCGTGCGAGGAGACTGCCCTTCCTTCTCCCTGGAGCACCTGGTAGATTTGAACCATGCGCCTTTGAGCTGGCAGCATGACTCATTACCACTAAGCTACCAGAGCTTCCTAAAAGTCCAATGATAGGAAGTTGACTAAACAAGCTTCTTATGCAGCTAGGCCATAAAACATGCATCTGCTCAAAATTATATGGTTAAATTATATTTTATTATATGTTGTTTTTGTTGTTATGGGCTTGTGAGAGTTGCTTGTGACTCATAGAGACCCTATGTACAATAGCTCTGAACTCTGCTCTAGACTGAGCCCATCTTGCTGTCTCTGACATGCCTACCCCTATTACTGCATCAATCCATCTCATCTGGGGTCTTCCTTGCCTGTGCTATCCCTCCACCTTTCCAATCACTATGCCCTTCTTTAAGGATTGGTCCCTCCTGGCCATGTGCCCAAAGTATGTGAGATGGAGCTTCAAAATTCTTGCCTCCAAGGAGCAGCCTGGTTCAGCCTCTCCCAGACAGATCTGTTCATCTTTTGGTGGTCCATGATATGTTTAATACTCTTCTCCAGCACCACAGCTCAAAGGCATTGCATTTTCTTCTATCACCCTTATTCATTGTCTAGCTCTCTGTTGCATAGCAAGTAGGTTATTTAAACTACATCCCTATTATGAGCCTATTTTTTGTTTGCATTGTCTACATATATTGAGAGAAAGGCTAAAAAAAATACACCAAAATTTTGGATCAGTAGTTTCTCCAGTGGTGCAAATGGTCCACACAGTCACTGACAACTGGAAGGTGGCTGGTTAGAGTCTACCCAGAGGTAGCTGGGAGGAGAGATGTGGGGATCCTTCAGGAAAAGCCATCCATTGAAAATTCCACACACATGGTTGTCATAAGTTGGTATCATCTCAACAGCATCAGGACTCTTCTTATTTTAAGAACCCAGTACCATGATTTTTATTCCCCTTTCCCAATTATTTTCCTAGTTTTCTATTATATGTAATCTTGTGAGGATCTTGTTGAGGAGAAAGTAATTCTTTGATATCCTTTAACATAGCAGAGAATGCTTCCTCATCCAGGAAAGCAGCTTCATGCCTCCTCCTATTCCCCTCAGTCCCTGTCTGTGGGTCTGTCCATGTGGTGTGTCCAGTGGGGCACAGAGCCTGGCTTCAGTGACCTTCTCCGAAGCCCAACATCACAGTTCCTGGAAGCGGAGGATGCAGCAGCCTGAGTCAGAGCCGGACGTCCCCAGGCCATGAGGATTTTCCGTAGTGAGGATAACAGCCTTTGCATTGTGGTTCTGGAGACGAGGACTAACCATCTCATGGGTGGACAGGCTAGCGAACACGCAGGTCTGTCCTGGAGGGTGTGCAGCCAGGGTGCTCCTTACAGGCAAGGGGGGGTGAAACTACACCTCGCAGGCTCTGGTCACGTTGCCAAGGAAAGGATGGTCCTTGGAAAAAGACATCAAGCCGGGAAAGAGAGAGGGTCTCGGAGAGAAAGCAAGACCCTCCACAAGGTCATGAGACCAGCGCAGGGCAGGCCAAGGCTCAGAGCTGTTGTTCACAGGGTCACCAGGAGTCTGTGCACTTGATGACACCTAACAACAGCAGCAGGGTGACAAGGAGTACTGCCCTCACTCCCAGCCCCCGATCCTTCAAAGGGTATAAGGAGTAGACGATCATCTTCGAGTTGCAAAGCTCCTTCCTACCTACTAATCTACTTACGAGGGTCACACTGAGGTTATTGTCTCTGAGAGCAGGATGTCTTCCCCACAGAACTAGAAACAGGCTCTCCCTTAAGTGTCCATCCACCCCTGCATGCCCCTGCCACTCCTGGGCACCAAGGTTAAGGCTCCTGTGAGTCTTGGCTTTTGTAGCTGCAGAAACATCAGTGCCAGCAGTGCCTCCCGGGTGCTGGGCTCCCTCGGGCCGACTAATGCGACGGTGCCACTCGGTAACCTGGCAACCAAGCTGCTCCGGCTGCTCCTTCCTCTCCTCCCCCCACCCCACCCTCCACCTCTGCTCCTGGCAGCTCCCCAGCAGCCCACATACTCATGGAAGATGTCGGGAAGACGGCCTGGGAGGTGCTGGCCATGAAGTCCGCAATCTGCCGCAGGGCCCAGATGTTGGATGAGTTGTTCCCCTTCTTCATCTGCTCCTGGATGAGGCCTTCAAGCTCCTCTCTGAAGGACTGAAGCAGGACCCCAGGGGGACGGGTCTCAATACAGCTTCTCATGGGGAGGCCCCAAAAAAGGGTCTTCCAAGTGCTTCCCTCTTACCACTAGCCCCCTGGGGACAAGACTCTTCCAAGTCTCACCAGAACAAGGGCCTGCTGGGAACAGATCCTGTGTATCCTTCCTCTCTGCTCAGCCCCCCAGAACCCAGGGTGTCTCAGGGCCACGCAAGGGCCCCCACACCAGAAGTGGCAGCACTCGGAAGTCAAGAGACCCGTTTTAGATCAGAGCTGTGGAAGAAAAGTGCCACTGTCCCTCTGCACTAGCCATGCCTCTGGCTCCACTGTGTCTTCCTGTCCTCATTCACCTCACCAAAGGTAGGATCTGACCACTTCTGAAGTCCCTTCCGCTTCCAGCATCTGTGGCCTAGCTGGCGGGTAGGAAGTCGGGCAGCTTAACCCAAAAGCTGCTCCTGCTGGAGGGTCCTGTGCAATGACAGACACGGAGGCCACAAATACGGCGCTGCCGTCCACTAGGTGGCAGCGGGACACATTCAGGAGGAAGCAGCGTCTTAAACTAGTGGTCAACCTGAAAAGGGTCTGAAAGCAGCAGGCCTTCTCCAGCCTCAGAGTCGAGTCTCACCACTCAGGCCTGAAGCCTGGGCTGGGCCTGCCTCAGCGCCTCTCCTGCCACATCCACCATCCCTCCTGGTCACACCCTGGAGTCTCCCACAACTCCTCACCTCACTTGGGGAACCTTCAAGTCCTATGGAGTCATTCTACTCTGCACACTCATTCACCGCTGTGGACTGAGAACTCATAGTGGACCCTCCAGCAGGTTTTCAGAGGCTCTCGGTCATACGGGAGAACACTGCCCATCTTTTTGGTTCAGAGCAGCTGGTAGATTTGAACCTCCCAAGGGGAATCGCCTTTGAGTTAAGCCGCACAACTCCCTCCCCACCAGCTAGGCCACAGGTGCCAGAAGCAGAAGGGACTTCAGAAGTGGCCAGATCTTGCATTCTGACAGGTGAATGAGGACAGGTGGACACGGCTCCCCTGTGGGTCAGCTGTGCAGGGACTGCATAGCCCTCAAACCTCCCAGTGGCCATAGGGGTGGCCACAAGTCAGGTGGACTCTCCTGCCCCTACCACCAGCAACATACATTCATTCCTTCAGGGTCCTACGTGCACAGGTGTTCAAGGCCTCAGTACCCCCATGGGAGGGCCAACGCTCACTGCATGGTCTTCGCTGACGCCACACACTCCACAGGCAAGCTCTGCTCCCCAGAAAGTGGAGCCAGGCTTCCTGAACCCACAGGGCAAGCACCTGGTTATACAATTTTAACCTGGTGCGTTCCACCTCCCCACACTCCCCATCCCCACCTTACACCCTTTGTCCTCTCCCCACCCTGGCTGTCCCTTTCCCACCCCTGGCTGTCCCTTTCCCACCCCTGGCTGTCCCCTTCCCACCCCTGGCTGTCCCCT